TTTGAATATGGGTTCCCAAAAATCGTTTCTTTGAAGGATCCCATAATACAGGTTTTATACCGGAAAAACATCGGTTTCGTACACGGCTTAGTACGGGAAAAATATGGGTTCCAGGGTACGGCCCTTAAAATTATTGTCAGACATGATCAAAAAATGCGTTTTATTTTTTATTTTTATTTTTCACGAATTTTGTTCAAATTAGTTCGCTTTTAGTAATCCAGAATCAACTATTTTAATGAAAAAAAATGCAGCCATGTCTCAATTCAAGAGCATCAGGTCCTTTCTTGTGAGAACTGCCAGTGGTGGAAGAGTATAATCAACATGAAGGGCACGGAAAGGGATAGATCGCCAGTGTCAATACAGGGGCTTGAATCGACTACTCAAGGGAATGGGTCATGAGATGTAATGACACCAAATTTGAATTTGACAAAAACTTGTTTTTTAAAGATGAAACACAATGAGTCATTTTGACAGAATTCCATTGTTTTTTTTGGACAAGAACACCTACTGTACAGATTTGTGGGTTATTGATGCGCTTGGGTAATGCAAATTCTATCGATTCGTGACGTGTGATTTGGGAGGCCAAGATGGTCCCATCGGCGACAACAGCTCCTGAGGCAGCTCTTGACCTTTTCATTTTCTGCCACCATTTTGACTCGTCATTTTTGTTGAACAATGCAATCTTTGAAAAGATCGGATTACGACGATCAAGATATGTTTGGTTCACAACGCTGTTCTGATGTCCAAAGCATCAAAATTGTTCCCAGGTTCTGAACAAATGGGAGAAGGCCGGTGAAGATGCTCCAGCTCCAACGGATGTGGCCTCACCAGCCAAAGATGCCGGAGCTCCGGCTGTGGATGTCTCCAAGGAGGCAACGAGACTGGGAAAATGGGGACAGGGGTATAACTTATATAACGGTATATCCAACAATCTACCACTGGGGATGGTTTATTATTGGCTTTGGGACATTCATTGGGATCAGAAACTTCAGACACTGGTGATATATTGTGCATGCTGCAGGTCCCCGATGTCTTGTCACCCTCACAGTCATCATCTGCTCCTGAAAAGGCTCGGAATTGCGCTGTCGCATGTCAAGAGAGTACAGACACTTTGTCCAGCTGGAAGCTTTGGACATCTTTGGACTGTGGAGTCAAGTGGAGTCTGTTTGAAGGTCCCGTTGATCCCCGAGTCAAACTCAAAGGCGAGGTCTGTTCGGTCAAGTGTTGAGTTTCACTGGAATTCACAGATACTTTCACTTGTGTATCTTGCAGGCAGTGGAGACTGAAGTTGAGAAGATCGGAGACAAGTTGGACACATTGACCAAAAAGATCAGCAATGTCAGGGGCCTGTACTTCTCAAGATTTTCCTGGCCCTCCCTGTCTTGCATGTCTTGTATGTCTTGCTAAGTTGCTGACTGCGGTACGTTCATTGCCATTTCATTCACACAAGAGTTGACAACTTCATCATTGTTGATACATGATAAGATGGGACCGAGGGTGTTTTGGAGGTTGATTCACATTGAGGCAATGGAGGTTGACAGTGTTTCCTGAAGTGACTTGCATGAACGCTTGCAGTACCTTTCCAAACTTGCAGAAGTTGCCAAGGTTCCTCATGAAGCGCCAGCAAAACTGACACCGGCGCGCCTCTCAGCTTTGGAACGACGCAGGAACAGTTTTAGAATCGGAATGCGAATCCACTTGACATCGACCGATATCACTGTGAGGTTCAACGACAGATCAACAACATCAACCAAAAGATGGAGAAACTGTCCGAGCAAATCAGCCGGGTATCAGCCTCATACAATCTTTGAGGAAAATACCGCACCACATTGACATGTGTGTTCGGGTCATCTAGCGCTTTGATGAGTTTGATTGGCGATTTTCTGAGCATGGGCAAGATTTTGCTGTCAAGCCTCTGTTTTTGGATTGCTCGGAAGACTGCTTTATATTAGAGGAGCTGATAGCTGCTGACAGTCTGCTGTTTTTTTGGAGCTTTGTTCCAAAGCCATTCTATCTCGAATGTAATTTCCAACTTGCTCCTCCGTTGTTGCTCTACCCGGAAAATGGATGGCACAGAGAACAATTTCGGTGCCATGTACTTTGTTGGGTGATGTTGGGTGCAAAAATGTGTCTGTGACATGTACTGGGGTTTTAAACATTGTTTCCGAAACACGTTGAAAGATGTAAAAGTGTTGTAAAGTGTTGTATTTGCAAAGAGTTTTAGATGTTTTCACTTGTTTTCACCATCCCCAGATTCGCCGTTTAGAATTCCACACCGACTCCCAAGTAAAAAAAAACACGCTTTTGAGGCTCCTGGAGGTAAAGAGGCGAGTTGTTGTTGTGACATCACCAGCATCACAAGCATCACAAAACGACAATTTGAACATGGAACAGATGTGACTTGATGTTGATATATATATATATTATCTTGAGATACCGATTATATCGCGATATATTTTGATATATATCGTGAGATATCTTGATGTCCCTTGGAAAGAGACTCCAACGCAGGTCGCAACGGATGGACTTTCACCCAAGGCAAAGGCTCGGAATTGCGCTGTCGCATGTCAAGAGAGTACAGACACTTTGTCCAGCTGGAAGCTTTGGACATCTTTGGACTGTGGAGTCAAGTGGAGTCTGTTTGAAGGTCCCGTTGATCCCCGAGTCAAACTCAAAGGCGAGGTCTGTTCGGTCAAGTGTTGAGTTTCACTGGAATTCACAGATACGTTCACTTGTGTATCTTGCAGGCAGTGGAGACTGAAGTTGAGAAGATCGGAGACAAGTTGGACACATTGACCAAAAAGATCAGCAATGTCAGGGGCCTGTACTTCTCAAGATTTTCCTGGCCCTCCCTGTCTTGCATGTCTTGTATGTCTTGCTAAGTTGCTGACTGCGGTACGTTCATTGCCATTTCATTCACACAAGAGTTGACAACTTCATCATTGTTGATACATGATAAGATGGGACCGAGGGTGTTTTGGAGGTTGATTCACATTGAGGCAATGGAGGTTGACAGTGTTTCCTGAAGTGACTTGCACGAACGCTTGCAGTACCTTTCCAAACTTGCAGAAGTTGCCAAGGTTCCTCATGAAGCGCCCGCAAAACTGACACCGGCGCGCCTCTCAGCTTTGGAACGACGCAGGAGCAGTTTTAGAATCGGAATGCGAATCCACTTGACATCGACCGATATCACTGTGAGGTTCAACGACAGATCAACAACATCAACCAAAAGATGGAGAAACTGTCCGAGCAAATCAGCCGGGTATCGGCCTCATAGAATTTTATTTGTCTATTCAGTCTGTTCCAAATTTTGTGCATTGTCCGGTGATGCTTTCCGGATCAAGGTGTAGGAGTCAGATCGGGTCGGGGTCGGACGCTCTTGAGCCAGGATGCGCTAGCCGTGCGAAACGCATTTGAGTGCCAAGGCTTAGAATGGACTCTATCAAAACGGTATCAAAACGGTATCAACAAGGTATCATGGCTTTGGAAATCGCCGATGGCACCAAGATATGGAGCACCATGGAATCCTCGTGGGATCCCCTTGGGATGTCGGAACCAAGATGGTGCCATGTAGTGCCTGTGTCCGACAACATTTGGATCAGCTCCATAGCCACAGCCAGTTCTGGGTGGAACCCACCGTGGGGTTCTTCCCATAGGCAGGCTGTGGCTATGTCATATATGTCATCAGATTCCAAGATGATGGCAGTTGCTCCTGGTATGTGGAGCAGTGATGGTGCCACCAGTTGGGTGCAGGATGGTACAGGTCTCATCTGCAGCTTCCAGCCATGTCATCCGCGCTTGTTTATGGGAACATTTGGACCAGCTTGGACAGTGGTGCCACTTGGAGTGAGGACACGTCCGTTGGCTCGACACAGAATTGGCATGTCGCCTTTTGATCTTTTTGATGGATCCAGTGGGGGGCACCCTTTGGACCACCCGGGCAGTGAGCACTGGCACAGCTTCCATTGCCTGCACCACAGCATCCATCAGTGATGCAGCCCCGGCAGCGTTTCAATGTTTCTTGATACTCAATGTTTCTTGCATGCCCTGGCTTCCTTGACAAGCAACATCGCACTCCCCTGCTTGAAATAGCCGGAAGTTGCCGTGCTCGAACTGAGTTGCATCCGTGGCCTGAAAAACAGTAAAGCGTGATCCATCATCCAATATCATCAATATTATCATCAATATCATCATCCAAATTCATCCAATATGATCCAATATCATATCATCAACAAATCATAATCATAAGTATCATAAGTATCTAATATCAAGATATCATCTATAAAATCAGTTTGGATTTTGTCATGTCGCAATGTTTTTCCAGCCGATGTCCCAGGTGGGCAAGCCGGAGCCCGCACCGAAGTCACCTCCTGGGACCTATGGCGGCCATGGCGGCCATGGCGGCCATGGTGGCCACGTGGATGCGCAGATCAATGCGATCAACGAAAAAATGGACTCCTTGAGCAACAAGATCAAGAGAGTTGGAGACTCAGATGCCTAAAATGATGGGTAGATGATGGTAGATGAAATCTACATAGCTGAAATTAGGTCATTGATGGGTAAAGGATGGGACATGACAGCTTTGATGGCAAAAGTTGGGAGATACTGAGAGGTTCCGAATGTTTTTTGATGTTTTTTGGTATTGAAAGGTTTCTGTTTCATTCCATCCGCGCAGGAAGTTGCCACAGGGGGATGGGGACATTCCGTCAATTTCTCAGGTTGGGAGGAAGACTGAAACTCTGGAAGACTTGAACCATGTGGGGAGCTTGGACACCTCGGCAGCTGGCAATGGTGAAATCTGGTGAACCATGGTGAAGCTTTTAGATCTCTTTCCTACGACCTGTGAGTTTTTATGTGCCCATCCAGCATCTAGCGCATCCCCAGATATCCTCAGATATCCTCAGATATCCCCAGGCTCACACATGGAAGTTGGAGGACATCGACTCCAAAGTGGATCAGTTGGCGAAAAAGTTGGGAGATCCCAAGGCTTGATTCCATGATATCTCATGGTGGATATGGAGGTTATTTGGAGGGTTTGGTAGAAGGGTAGCCATAGCTACAGATGGCTTTGCTTCGAAATGATACGACAGATTTGGTGACTTTAATATTTTTGAATGTGACTTTTGCAGTACTGTAACATGGGGTATTCAATTTCACCCATGCCCAAATATCAAACCACTTCCAGAGGTTTTCAGCATGACCCATGGTGAAGCTGGAAACTGATCAGCAACGCCCGAAAACCGACAGTCAGTTGGTTCTGGATCTTCTTGAGGGTTACTAGTTACTACCCATTACTATCCCCAGTTTATCCCAGTTTCATGGGGATTTTCACATCATCCACACACACACACAACTTCCGCACAGGTGGAACACATGCAGAGTTTGCGTGGCAAGATCGACCACCTGTTGAAGAGTGTCAAGGAGGCAGGGAGCGTCTTTTACGGATTCTTTTAGGTAGAAATGAATGGACATGAATGGAAAGGAGGGATATGTATAACGAGAGATTCGATTTACGAATCCACTATAGAAAAGCAACACAGTAGATGTTTCATGATGTTTCTGCCGTGAGATGTTGAAATATGTTGAACTCTGTTGAACTTTTATGCCAATGCCTTCAAACATCTGAAACCGATGGAAGGCAGATAAGGTCCTTAAAGTCATGGACGTCGCTGCCTCACCAGCGGCCGTCGAGTCCGTCGAGTCCGTGGCGCAGTCGCCGGCGGCGGCGCCGTCGATGGTGCTGCCGCCCATCGCTTCGCAAGCGGCCCTGGCACCACAAGCTGCGAGAGGAGAAGTCACGGCAGCTCCCATGGAGGTGCAAAATCCGGGAAAACATGGGGAAAATTGGGGTGATATTGTGATATTGGTGATGTTGAAGTCTTTTGGAGGAGTCGATGTCATGACATGTCATGACTAATCTGCAATTTCTGACGTGGGACTCAATGATTTGGGAGGCCAAGCTGGTCCCATCGGCGACAACAGCTGCTGAGGCAGCTCTTGACCTTTTCATTTTCTGCCACCATTTTGACTCGTCATTTTTGTTGAACAATGCAATCTTTGAAAAGATCGGATTACGACGATCAAGATATGTTTGGTTCACAACGCTGTTCTGATCCAAAGATGTCCAAAGCATCAAAATTGCTCCCAGTCTCCTTCTGTCCTTTTTGGCGCCTGTGCAGGTTCCAATCGTCGATGTCTCACCACGGTCCTCAGCTCCTGTGCTGAGCCCGGTGCGGACACCCGTGGCACCATCCATCGCACAGGCGCCCGCAGCGGCAGTGGCAATGTCGCCCGCCCAAGCACCGCCAGCAGAAGCCAAAGTGGCACCTGTGGCGGCCGCTCCTGCCGAGGCCTTGGGGATTGATGTTTCTGAGGGTTCTGACATGTTCTGACCTGAGTTTCCTGTCAATTTTCCACCCAATTCTGGGCCAGTAGCAGGCCCGATCCCTTTCTGGGCAATGAACACCTATGGAAACTGGTAGGCCAGCAGAAGCAACACGCTGTCAGCAGAGGCTTCGGATTTCGGGGTTTCAACATGTTTCAACAAGATAAGGCAGCACCCCAAATTTCACCGGTGCACTGGAAGATACTCAGAGTAAACTCAAACAGATTTGGTATCAAGGTATCATGCACAATTGTTCTAATGCTGGTTAATGGTTTCACATCTAGATTTTCACGGCATGAAGTGGCCGAAATGGCCGGGTTGGAGATGGTTTCCTCCAGCAGCAACTGTTCTAGGGTAACCTCGCCATGTCTGTTGGTTATATCAGTGGTTCGCTGAGTGCATACCCATTGTTGCACCCCATCGGGTTGAAAGGTTGAAAGCCCCACCCAGCGTGGTGAACCAATCTGAACCAACGCTTCTGACATGTTCCGATTTGTTCGGAAGCTTGGAGATTGGCCAGGCACGATCCAAAATGCAGCAAATCGAGGACAAAATCGACAAGTTGGGTGAAAGGTTCAAGAGACAGGCAACTTTTAGCCGCAGAAATTCAGTGCCATAGTGCCATAAAGTTTGTTTGAGATTGACTAGATTGACTTTTATCCTAAGAAAGACACATCGACATTTCTGAGATCTCTTTGGGTCGTTCAAGACATGTCCTGCGAGTTCTCGTCCATACGGATCATACGGAACCAACATGGACTGCTGTGATGAGAATCTGGAGACATTTGGAGATTTCCTGGTGCCAGGCATCTTCAGCTAGGGCAGTAGCCAAGGCAGGGTTTGGCTGTTGGACCTGGATTTTTGCAGCCGACATTGCCGCCATAACCAAACAGTATATGGCTGAACAGGGTAACATGTGCGCAATTGCCACTTTTATGACATGGGATTTGTATAGGGAGTTAGAAACAATAGAAACAAACAACGACGATTTGCCTTCTCAATATGACAGTGCCACAGTGCCAGTTCGTTGTGGATGGCCCATGGCCCATAGCCCACTGCTACAAACCCATCTCAGGCGCAGGAACCTTCCAAGGCGCAACGGAGTCGAAGAAGTTGAACCCACTGAACCCACTGAACCAGCCGTTCCGTCCCAGCGTTCAGCGTTGCGCAAGGCCTTCATGAATTCGCAGGTGGCTCAAGTGGCCAAGGCGGGACAGCGAAACATCTTCGAGTTGACCAAGAAAAGTAACTAGAAAATGAATCTGTATATGACATAGATGACATAGTAGTACATCATACAAGATATATATGTCATATGACTATAACCATCCTGAAGTACATAGAATATGGATGAATATGGCATTATACAGAGATATCCGATAATTCATTCCATAAGTCTAATTGTGATGAGCTAGATCTATATGAATCATATAAGTATTATATATATATATATTATGATATGCAATAGCCATTTTATGATAGATGCCTGAGTTCCATGGTAGATCTCCCAGGTGGAGCTGATGGACGTGAAGACTGATGTCCAGCAGGACCTGCCCAAAATGTGGATCTGGTGGTTTTAGCCATGGCGGTTTTTGGCATGGAACATCTGGAAAATCAACTGGGTTTTGCTGAAAATTGTGGACAAACGTGGCAGGGATTTTGATGGATTTTGATGGATTTTGATGGATTTCGAAGCTTTAAGGGGCTGTTCGGTGAAATTCAAGATACATTTCCCCCTTGCTTTGAAATTTCGAACAACATCGAACAACACATTGAATGCCGAACCTTCCGAACCTTGTGACCTCGCAACGTCTTCGAATCTTCTGATCTGTTCAGGAGATCTTGACCCACGCCTTAGATGGCAAGGCGCAGATGCAGGGACAGGTGCGGAGCTGCGGACGTCGTGGACGTCGCGTTGTCGAAGAAAATTGCTGCAGTGCAGATATGGAAGTTGAGTTCTGCCGAACATCTGCCAAGAATCTGGCGAAAATCCGCAGTTTTCTTTGCACATTTGGGCCCACATTTCATCAAGGTGGAAGCTGCAGACCATCAAAGGCCATCCTGGGGAAAGGCATCATCAAGGTCCATAACATCAAGGTGACATAGTGCCAGAACATTGTACCTGATATGGGCATGAGTAGAATTCCAAAATGTCAAACATGCCTTCAGAAGACAACTTAAGGTCGTTTCACCAACCAGAAATGGATGAATCGGAGCCGATTCCCCTTCTCGTCCCATTTCAAAACATCAGCCGGCTTCACACCCGAAGCCGGAACCACAACCTGTGACCAGTTGAATCCATGACATGTCTACCATTTTTGCAATCTATGCGCATGACATCCATGGCATCCATGACATTCATGGCATCCAAAGCAGGAAGGAGATCCTTCAGAAGTTGAATGTCACCATGCAGAAACGCCTTTCGGAGGTGCCATTTGTAGAGATGGCCAGGGAAAAAGATTGGACATATGAATAAAGCTCAGGGATCTATTAGGTTTGTCTGAAAAACTGGTAGCCGTAAATTTGTGGTTACTCATCAATATAGTGTTTACTATAATTAACCACTTTGGGGCGTTTGTTACCCATTTTCAGACACACCCATTTGTCATTTTCAAGTTTTTTTAAAAGAAGGATGTGAATTCTAAGATATCAACAGATCCAACATATCCATACATATCCAATGGTTACACAATTTGGTGTTACCAGGCTATGCCGTACCATGCTAGGCACGAGCCAGCCTTGATGATGCAGAGAGCCAAGTGTCGGAAACTGCCAGTGCCATGGCAGCACGAGTCATTTTGGGACCCATTGGCAAAGAAACAGAAGTGGGAAAAACAAACTGTTATACATTGGTTGTGTTTTTTTAGGTGGTCAAAAGATCATATGACAACATATCACTATTCGAGTTCAGCAAGATTCCGATGGATTTTCAGATGTTTTCCCATGTTTTTCTGCGAAACACAGCCGGGGAACAGGACATGTGGTGCAAGAAGTGGTGGGAAACGTCTCGCTGGAAGCCGCACACGTTGCAGGCTGTCGGATCTCTACCAGCTGGGCATTTTGTACCAAAATAGCCGAGATTTATAGATGTTCATCGCCCCAAATATCAGTATCAAAGGTGTTAACATGTTTTAACCCATCCTGATGTAGGTGAGACGTACCATTTTTGCAGATGACTTGGGTGAATTTATCCAAACCTGGGAGAAAAAAACACAGCGACCCCGGGAAATGATATCCCTTGGACTGTGGGTCATAATGTTTTCCCATAGTGGACAGTGGTCAAAAAGGTTATGCCAGAATCTCTGATCAACTTGGCTTGGTGATGAGTTTGGTGATTTGCATCGGGTCGTAGAACCGTTTCAAACCCAAATAGCAAGGCTAGGTGGTTTGCCATATGGCTCCGTTTGAAAATCGGTATACCCTCCAAAAAGCCAGTAAAGAAAGGGGACAATGCTATTTTTTTCCTCTGGATGTTGTTTTTGTTCCTCTGAAGTTTCAGAGCAACGGAGATGGGCCTGTTTGAAAATGGGGTATAGGGGTATACCCCCAATATTCCCCCCAATTATGGCTACTGAAAGGGATTTGATTCAGATTAAACCAATTATTCTGATCATATATTGGCAATATTCCCTTGGATTTAGGGGTAAAAATTGTCGAAACCAGAGATTTTGGAACTCGTTCGCCTCAGTTGTTGGGACCGATGCCGAGAAGTTAAAGATGGAGGCCGTCTTACGGCCTGCCGGGAAACGGCGGTTGTGTTTCTGTTTCCGCAGGTATATATATATATATATCTATATATATATAATAATAATATACATAATATATATGGTAAATCCAGTGATGTTCCAGAGATACTCGATAATCATGATCATATTATACTTACCACTGAGTATTGAATTATATGGTTTCTTCCAATATCACTGATTTTTTGAGGAATCACATAAGTAAATACCAAGATGCTGGGCCCGTGGCAGCTATGGCTATAGCCATGGCTATATCTAGGTACTTTTCTAGACAGGTTGGATGATGTCATATTCATATCCTTCTTCTTGTCCAGCATATTCACCCCAAACATGTCATTCTTGTCAGCTTGCTTGACATTGCAAAAAGGAATCAAATGGTTGGTGGTGTTTCAGATGTTGCCATGAAAATGCTTCAATCATTGCTGTCACAGTCAATGCAACAAGTCATGGATCAGTTTTGGACGGCGAGGCGGAGAGCCTCCAAAACAACATCTCTGCTTTGCTCAGTCATGTGGGAGCCTTGACTCAGCCCGACCTGGCAGCCCGAAGAACAGTGGGATTCCACGATCTTTCCGTGACAATCTGAAGAGATTGATATGCAAAGATATAAGGATGATATAGATCACATGAGATTACAGAGATCTGATAAGTCTGATAGAATCTGATAGATATGAAATGAGATCAATTTGATCAATCTCAGCAGAAACAACTTCCGTCGCTTCTGTCTGAGGTGGAGCAAGATTCCGGACTAGCAGCAGAGATTGTGACAAAACTCAGTCGGATGGTGAGGGAGATCAGAAACTGACTGCATACGCATCATATGGGGTTGTCTGAATATGTCTGAATATCTGGAGAATCAAAGTGAATCAAAGATCCAAATTTATTCAATTTTGATGATGTAAAACATGGTAAAACACACGGTAAAGGCTCATTTTCCCCCATGATTTCCATGGCAATTTTGGGGCAAAGATCCCAACAGTTCTCAGCTGAGGCGGCTCAACTGCCAAGCTCCCAAGAAGTGGCGTTGGAAGTTGAAGCCATCAAGGCGGATGTGAAGGAGCGCAGCTGAGATGGTGGGAGATCGGATGATCCTCAAGAATAGTAACTATATTGAATTTCACTGACATGTTTGTCATGATGTTTGTTTTTAATACAAATTTTCAAACCATCATGCCATGATAATGATTCATGATGATGATTCATCATGATGATGATGATGATGATGATTCATGCCATGATCATGATCATGGTGGTGGCGGTGGCGGTGGTGGTTACGACGATGTGCCGGGTTCAAGTTTTTTTTGTCTTTCACGCCCTTTGCATCTACCATCACACCTTCCCGACTTTAGCTGCCCAGGACATCCAAGTGGAGGCCTGCCGTGTTGCTGATGAGCGACCATGGGCAGGGCACCCAAAAGTAAGCAACATAATCATTTATCGATTGGAGATAATTCGTTGCAGGCACCTCCTACCCCTACCGGCACCCTACTTATTTTTAGAAATAAGAGGACTTTGGGTGTAAAGACAAACCATGACAAAACTATGGTAGGGCTTTGATCCCCCCAATAGCACACCCCACTGGGAGCATGAAAACAGAAATATGCATCCCTCAGTCCCTACTTGGATGGCTTTATGATGTTTTATACCAAGCATCAGCAGCCATTAGGCCAATTTTGTGGTTTCTGCAACCAATTTCATGATCACCAAACCCATTTTCCTTACTCCCAGGTTTGCAGTTGATGGTTCCCACAGCGGAATGGCTTTGAAATTCTCAGAGGTTTTGCCCAATTTTCACCCATTGTTCACCCATTTTTCTGGGTTCAGGATGGAACTCCCAACAAGTTGACCCTCGATCGGTGAGGCGGGAGAGACCGATGAGTTGGCAGATGAGTCACTGGCCGCGGCGGAAAGCGCCATGCAGGACGATGGGCCATGGGCCCGGGAGATCCGTTGTGGGAATCGAAGGGTTTGGCTAAGGAAAACCATGAAAGTCAGAGGTACCCTCTGGTAAACTAACATAACTATGGAAAATCACCATTTTTGATGGGTAAATCAACTATAAATGGCCATTTTCAATAGCTATGTTAGTTTACCAGAGGGTAAAGATTAAACCACCATTAAAATAAGAGGATAGAAGAAGTAGAGATTTATCGACTCTGGCCAAGACGAACTGTAGTGAACTCTTAGATTATAATTATTATAGGATGGCGGCAAAGCAAGGGGATTTTCAATGGTTGATTTTTCACCACCAGATTCTGGGATTTCACCAGCAGGATTTGGTGAAGGTCCAGGGCCTTTACGAAAAGTAACTGGCATGATTTTCCCCAAAAAATCCAGGGTCCCAATATGGATTCTCCAGGTCCTCAATCGCTCCGACGTGATGGCTCAAGAGGCCAGATCCAGAGAATCTGAAGCCGAATGGGCACCACAAAACAACACGTTGATGAGGGATTTATCTGAAAATAGGGTACCTTTAGATGTATTGATCAATTATCATATATATATATATATTATCATCATCCCTGAAATTACAATTATTTAGGTATAGCATGGTATACCCCCTTCAGCTTGCCAGGCCAGAAACTTGAAGATACGAGCAGCAAAACAGGTGCCATTGGATCCGGTGGATCCAATTTTAGAGAGAATTGATTGGAAACAAATTCAGAGAGTGGATGATCCACATTCTTTTTTCCAAATAGTCAGAGAATGGATCCAAATCAAAATCATTCAAAATCCCCCAGAAAAATTGTGGATATTTCAGCTGAAATAGCTGAATTTCATGATAGGCAGCGGAGAATCGAGCTAAGATCTTGGAGATTGCGGAGATCTTTGGGACCAAATAGTCGCTGTGTGCCTTCAAAAAGGAGCGATAAAGACCTGTGACACCTGAGTTGTGACCACGACCTGTTGAGATTCCTTACTGAAATTGTGCCAGAATGTGCCAGAATGAGGTGCGATTCCTTTTTGTTGAACCCCAAAAAGTCGAGTGATCGAGTGATGGAGTGATAGATGGGCTATTGTTTGTTATACAGTTATAATCAATTAATCAGTTATACAATGTTATACACATTGGAATCAACAGCCATGAAAGTTATCCATCTTGTTCCATAGTTTCGCAGGTTTCATGTGGACAAACGTGGCTGTGGCTCAAGTTGGGGCCTCCGGGCGGCCTCAGTCGAAGCTCCTGGGCAGCAATCCCTGAGAGATTCATCAAGAAACCACTGACAATCCACTAGACATCCATTCAATATCCGAAAAAAGGATAAACATCCATTGAATATCCATTGAACATCCATTGAACATCCATTGAACATCCATTGAATATCCATTGAATAGATCAAACGAAGCATCCGTGCTCCGAGGTCATGGAAAAGGAGGTCATAGATCAATCCGACCCCTTAGAGGCCACCAATGGAAAAAAGAAGCCAGGCCCTCAGCAAACATCGCTTGAAAAAACGGAAATAACAATGATGGATGGTGATGGATAGTGATGGATGGTGATGGATGGTGATGAATGTTTGGAATGTTTTGATGATTTTCATCTGATATAAGAGTTTAATGATGATATGTGAAATAGAAAGATGACTATGTTGATGATGTTGATAATGATGATTATGGTATACACATATATAATTTCTATAAGATACAACATGACTCAACTATATCTATACATGTGGATATATGTGGATGATGTTTGATGTATCCCAGTGAAGTTCTTCTGTTTCGACCTCCAACGGATCCCCAGGAAATCGAAGAAAAAGAAACCCGCGGCCGAAGCCGCTGCCGCGGACGATGAAGCACTAGCCGAGGCAGCTGTGAAAACCCAGGGAGATATCACACCGTCCTTGAGACACGAGTTTCATCATGCTTTATGCTTGGAAAATGTTTGAAATCCTAGACATTGATATGTGATTTTATGGGATTTATGGGATTTATCGGGATTGTAAGAATAAGGGTGAACATCTAGTGGCTCAAGAAGCATTGGAAGTCATGTTCCTTGCTACTCCATAGAGGCGATTTATCATTCCAGTCCACCCTAAGATCTGCGGCCGAAAGTTGGAGATCTGTTCCCCTTTGGGAACAAACCAATACAACCAGTGTTACAAGTGCCATCCAATTATAACCCCATCTATAAGATTGCTCAATGATTGCTCATCCCAAACCCCATTCATATCCACCATATCATTAGTGTGGTAAACTTCTGGTATTTCCTGGCAGGTCGAATAATTCATAAACCATCCCATTCACCAAGGATTTTTCTGGGCTTCAAACATCCCCGTCATCCGATGTCATCCTTTCCGGGAAGGCTGCAGAGGCTGCGGCCGCGGAGGCTGCGGAGGCGGAGGACCCAGAGGCCGCAGCCGAGAACGGTGATGTCCTCGACGAGGAGGGCGCGGCAGATGGCGATGCTGCGGCCAAGAAGAAAAAGAAAAAGAAGAAAAAGGGCAAAGGAACCGAAGGAACTGAAGGAGCCAATGAAGATGACAAAGAAGGAGCTCTGGAGCTCTGACTTTTCTGTTCTGACCTTCTGACCTCTGTTTTTGTGTTGTGAAAGTCATTTGGAGGTCAACAAATCCATCATTTTGATTAGGAGAGGATCATCCCTTCCATGAAGTCACCGATTCAGGAGCCGAGGAAGAGGCTCGAGAGGTGCAAGTCGATGTTTCAGACAGACTTCAGGGCAGAACATCTCCATGAACAACCAGTGAAATTTGAAGATTTCAAGGGTTGAAGCATTGGTGAAGCATTGGTGAAGCATTGGTGTGAACTGGTCACGGTTTCAACGTTTTTTCTTTTAAACCTCCACACCATTTTACTGGATTGTTTCATCCCCTGCCGGAGGCTCCTTTTGCACCACCTCCAAGAACGGAGGCGAAGAAATGGCTTTGGATGCGTCTGACTGGATGGTTTCATACATACACATATAGTGTATATATATATATATATATCTATATATGTATATATGTATGCATCGTGTTTGGCAGGCACTGGGTGTGCATTATCATTAGGGTGAGTGTGTAAGTTGATGAATCCATTTTGGCTCAAGTCTGAGCCAAACTGGCTTCATCATTCTTCTTTTGTTCGGGGTACCCACACCACTACTAGGGAGTCACCCTAGGGTAAGTGGTTATTCGTTCCTCTACTAGGGAGTTACCCTAGCGTACAGAGGTTACGGAGGTGGGAGATACCCCCCTGATGCCCAGGGCCACCGTTGTCGTTCGGCCGGGTTGGAATGAGGCTGCCCACACCGACGCTGAGATCCTTCACGCGGCGGCCTACTACGAGTTCAAGACCCACGTGGAAGGCCTGCTCCAGCGGGGCCTGGTGTCTCAAGCCACCAGGTTATGGTCCTCAGTGTGTCAGATCGACCATTTCCCCCCTCATCCCATTGGTTTGGGGGTGGAGGGACTTCCCCCTTTCAGACGGTCACCCTGCATGGAGGAAAACTGTAGGAGGTGTACCGAGTTTTTGGGAGGATTCAAGTTCCCATGGATTGGTACGTGGAACAGCTCAGCTGTCTTGGCTCTGCCCGGGAGTGACCCGCGGCTGGCGTGGCAGTCCTACTATGATCGCCTGGGCGAGGCGAAGCTGGACTTGCTGCTCATTGAGCCGCTGCGGACCCATTGGACAGCCAGGGACTTTGCGCCGGACAACATCTTCGGCTTGGTGGCCTTCATCGAGCACAATGCCGAGAGTATGGTCGACCTTGCCGAGCTGTGGGATGTCTGGAGGAAGTGGCAGTCCCCGCGCCGAGGATGGAGAGACCCATCCATGGTGCCTATCCCAGCTGACCTGGTTGCGTGGAGGGCACCACGGGCCAGGGCAGTGCGGTCACTCTGGGGGTGGCTCGGTGCCATGGAGGCTGGGGAGGAACCCTTGCCGCCATGTCGGGCCTGTGGCATTCCGACCCCAGAACTATGTGAGCACTGTTTCTCTTCAGTGTGCAGTACCTGTCCACCCTCCCAGTGTCCAGGCTGTCACCCCAACTTGCATAGAGACCCATCTGCAGCAGCTGCGGCCTAGTGATGCATGTTTCGTACCTGGTGATACTGAGGTGAATTCTGCAGTTTCAGGCCCAGCGCGAACGCTCCAAACATTGGCAGCGGTGGTGTCGGGGGTTGCCATGGCATATCACCCAGGTGCCTACGCAGTTCAAGCTGCAGGTGATGCTCCGCTTGGCGCTGAGACTGCGATGGAACGGGTGGCCTCAACGAGGGTGGAGCAGTGGCGATCTCAATGGGGATTGCATGACAACACGGACTTCGCCTATGCCTTCGCATCATACGACAGCGCAGTGGCGCATGGAGGACACCATGTTGCCGATGCGTGGCTGCAGGCGCGTTCCAACATCATTGAAGATGACCTCATTCCGCAGGTGGCGGCAGTGGCAGAGAGTTCTGGATCTCGGGATAGGCCAGCAAGTTGGCCGGCTCCCAAGGCTTCGATGTTGAAGAAAAGCAGGATGATCCAGGCACTTCGCATCCGTCCAGGCCCAGATCAACCAGAACAAGTGCTGCTGAGAGCCGCGGCTTTGCGGAAAGCATTCTCCCAGGCCAAGGTGATGCGCCCTCAAGGGGAGCTGACCCCTGAGAGGTATTCACAATGGCAGGATGCCCTGGATACCCTGGCCAAGAAGAAGGTCACGGAGGCAGAGGGCGCAACAGTTGTGAATGCCCTCAAGTCCTGGGCAGAATTGAGGGCATACATGGAACAGAAAGATCGTTTGTTTCCGCCTGATACTTTGGATCTTTATGGCTTTCTACAAAATGGCACCAATGGACCCTACAGGGCATTTCATTCTTTGAAATGGTTTTCGAAACATGGTCGCTTGCAGTGGGACTTCAGTGATGTGCCAGTGCCCTCAAGGAAGAATCCACCCAAGAAGGCAAATCCTGAGCAGGCAGTCGCAGTTGAACCGCCGATGATTGCTGCCCTGGAAGAGCGCATACAGGCCATGTACGAGGCAGAGGACCCACGTTGGCGAGGGTTGCTTTCATCATGGCTGGTAACCTTTGGTGTCTTGCGTTACAAGCACATCATGAGGGCCAGGCCGGTGAAGGTGACACCATCTTCGTTCCATGGGTTTTGCCCGAAGGGCAAGCAGCGGGCCAATCGGGGTGGATTCTCCTTCTGTATCCCCGCAACATTCGTGAATGGATGGGCTTGGGGAGCCGCCCTATTTCGGGACTATAGCAAGCTGACCAAGACCAAGCAGGCCACCTCAGGCCTCTGTTTCGATGCGGAGGGTACCGCATTCACCTTGAAGTATGTCAACGACTTGAACCGCGAGGTCTTCGAGCACTTGGTCCAGAACACAGACGATCTGTCGTCTTACTCTTGGAGGCGAGCTGGCCCCACAGTGGGATCACTGATGAAGCTGACGCCCCTGGAGTTATGTTCGCTTGGCGACTGGGCCGATCGGAGCCAGATCCCCAAAGAAGCGACGATGCCTATGCACTACAGTGCAGCCAGGTATGAACACTCGCTTCGGACCAAGCACATCATCAGGCTGGCCATGGAGAAGTTGTTGGCTTACGAGTCTTGGGAGACGATTCCGGAACAGAGCTTTGCGGAGGCCCTTGACTATGCGCGCCAGCAAGTCGACAAGGTCCTGAAGCAGGAGTCCCGTGTCATCTGGGCAGCCCCTTTGACTAAGGATGAGTTACAAGCTCGTTTTCAGTTGTCAGAAGCCCTCAAGCTCAAAGCAGCTGCCAAGAGGGAGGAAGCCCAAGCCAAAGGTGGGCTGACGACTATGCCAGCTTCCCTCAATGGGAAGGTGCTGAGTGCCTTCATGAAGAACGGGGCGCCTATTTGTGGGGCATATCAAACGAAGTCCTGCCCGTTAGAGAAGGAATCATGCCCGGGTAGGCATGCATGTGCCGTGATGCGCAAATCTGGACGCGTCTGTGGAGGAGGACATCCAGCATGCGAATGCCATGACAAGAAGTTCATCAAGGTGGAAGAGATGCCGGGCGAAGGGACTGGTTCGGGCTCTGCGAAGGCTAAGCCTACCAGCAAGTCCAAGGAGGAGCGACCTCCTGAACCAGCCACCCCACCCAAGGCGCCAGCGAGGCGCCCTCGATCGCCACAGGGCCAACCGCCTAAAGCACCGCCTGAGAAAAAGGCGAAGGCAGCTCCAGCTACACCTGCAGCTCCTCTTCCAGCCCTGGTTTCGAGCTCTGAGGATGAAGAGATTGAAGTGGAGGAGGAAGACCTCCCGATTCCAGAGGCACTGGACACCCGGGGGCCTGACAGGAAGTTTGACAGGCTGGCTACTGTCCACGGCAAGACTGCAGAGAGCCCAAGCCTGATCTACCAGAACAGAGCAGGGGGCAAGCTGTGGCTGAGCGGGATTCCTACCAAGAATACTGCGCATCGCTTTCCGAAGGGAGTTACCCTTCAGATTGCATGCATGGCTGAGACCCCATCCTCCCGAGGAGGAGTAGTGCTGACGGATGCCCTCTTGAAGCACCTTTGTGTGGCGCATGGCAACTCCAGGAACAGGGACTTTGAGGAAGTCTGGCCCCTGCTGCGCAATACGATGTATGCAGGAGAATCAGCACTGATCCATTGCCTATCAGGACGTCACCGAGCTGGTGTTGGAGGCTGCGTCTTCAGGGCCCTACTTGCGCAGGAGAGCTGGGACGTTGCCGTGGCTTATGTCAAAAGCTGCAGGCGCTCCCTGGACATTCCGGGGATCATCCATGAGGCTGGGATGAGGTCGTGGGTTGACACGACTCTCAGGGCTAGCTCTCTCCGGAACCCATTCCCGGAGCCATGTGGCTATATCGCAACTCAGCGGTCGAAGGTCCACTTGGAGCTCAACAATGGCCAGACCCTCTGCTCACACAAGCAATCTGCCGAGCGTGCAATCCGCTTGGTAAAACCGATGACTACGCAGGATATGAGGGAGGCCATGGCATGGGGCCGCGCATTTTGTGACAGTTGTTTGGTGCGCGCAGCAGCGAGCTGGCACCCACGCTGACCATGTCAGTGGGGACGCACCTGAATTCAATTTGAATAAGAGAAGCACAGGGCCGATTTTGGTAGGCTGATCACTGAGGTCCATAGCTTGCCCGTAGGCCAACTTGCATCATGCAGTCAGATGAGCTTTAATTTGAGTGTGGAAAAGAGTCTACATCGACATCCGGGAGGATGAGGTTTGGGTAGACTCCGTTAGGAGCCCTTGCATGTTTTCAGAGTTGCTTACACAGGGAACTGTGAGTTCAAGCAGCATTGGCATGAGTATAGGGCTTACTTTGGGGACAGACTGTGTTAACTAGTCTCGTCGGTCCTCATGAGGGAGCTTACACAGGATCCTGTGAGTACAAGCTGTGGATACATGAGCCGAGGGAATGAGCTAAGGTAGCAGTCTGTCTTACCCCTGAGGAACAGGGGAGTTCTTGTCCAGCCCCCCCCACGTCGCCTCCTTCTGTCTTTGGATGGCAGGTGATGAGCAGCATGCGGGAGGCATGTATGGGGCGAGCAGCGTTGAATGTTCAAGTCATACAAGGAGTTACCTTGAGTGAAATGACTAGTACTCGTCTGGTTCCGGTGGAGAGTACCACCATTCAGGAAACCATGGAGTCTTTAGGGATGAATTTCTCGTTGGACCCTGTCGTGACCAAGGCCCTGCTGGCGACCAAGATCCAGAACCTTGAGGAATTTCGTTTCCTTTTTGAAGACGAGACCAAGGTGGATACCTTCTTGGCGAAGTTGCAGCTTGGCGAGGAACGCCTGATTCAGGGGTCTAGGTTGCGCCGGGCTTGGACGGCGGTCACGTTGTACTACAAGAACCAGGACCAAGATCGATCCAAAGTCAGTCTTGGTGACCTGGACACGATGCTTGCTGATTCTGAGCTGCGTGATGT